GAATAAATCTGCCTCCTCGACGAATGGCTGACAGGGCAGGAATAAGAAGATCCGGCATCCGGCCAAGAAGGACCCCTTGGAGGATATGTTTGCAGTAGAGCTTCAAAGCTGCAGGATGACTAGAAAGGGGTGACAGGTGTTGCCGAATCCTCCACCCTTGGTCATCGGTCCCCGCAAAGGAGCTGTAGCGCTTGATCGCCTGGATCAGGCTAGTGGTGTCGAGGATGTCAGTCAAATCCACCTGCAGTACTGCAAGCGCTTGCTGGGTGAGATGATCCGCGGAAGCACTTCCAAAGGCAGGCGACGCACCATCAGGGAACTTCTCTTGTGCTTCAGCAAGAAGATCAGCGAAAGATTCAGCCCTGTAGATGCCGGAGCTCAGTAGTGTCCGTACCGCCCGATGAAGGTCACCCGCAGTGAACTGATGAATCGCCAACTGTCTTTGGCGCTCGCTCGCAGAGGTGAGGGACAGCGTAGGTCGCGGCGGAGGGGCAGGCTCAGACTCCTGAGACGATTGGCCGGACTGCCGCTGCTCCCTCGGCCCGCGCGGTTGTGGTCGCTGCTGTGGTGGTTGCTGGTGTTGCTGCTGCTGCTGCTGCTGACGCGGACGCTGCGGCTGACGCTGGCGTTGCTGCTGGTGCTGCTGCTGCTGCTGCTGCTGCTGTTGCTGCTGCTGCTGACGCGGGTGCTGCGGCTGCGGCTGCTGCTGCTGCAGTTGCTGTTTCGCAAACCGCGTCAGCGCTCCTGCCCCTTCACGCTCGCGGTGATGATGAGGATGTTGCCAACCCCACAGTGCTGGTGAGTTTGGATGCAAAGAACGCCTTCAACTCCCTCGACCGCCAGGCTCTCTTCGACGCAATCGAGGGACGTGCGAGTCGCGACTACTTTGATGGGAGCATCACTGAAGGCGCAAGCTTGCCCTCTTGCGAGCATCTCCGTTTGTTCGCCTCCTACCTCTCCAGCTACTATGGAGACTCTGCTGACCTTCGACTCTTTCACAAAAGTCAGTCAGCCTCCGTTCAGTGTACCTCGGGCGTCTGTCAGGGCGATGTCCCCTCCAGCGTATTTTTCTGCCACAGTATCCACCCCCTGCTCCTCCATATCGCAGAGCTTTTTCCCTCTGTTCGAGTCTTGGCCTATGCTGACAACGTCGTGCTTGTCGGTCCACTCGAGGATGCCGTTGCAGCTACGTCCGCTATGAAGAAGTACATGTTGGCTGATCTGAAGCTAGAGATTCAACCTCGCGAGTCGAAAGTTTACATCCCCTCCTGGCATCAACACCCTGATCTCTCGCAGCTGAAGAAGAGCCTTAAGCGCCGTCTCAAGACTCAACTTCTTCACTTCGAGGTCGTCACTGGCGGGATTACACTTGGCGGCCTGCCTATCGGCACGGATGGATTTCATGCTAGTCAGCTCCGAGCGAAGGTTTCTACCCTCAACGAAGAGCTCTCGAAGCTCGGGCTCGTCCAGCATGGCTTCATGTTCAAGACGCTGGTGAGGGCGAGCCATCTCCAGAAGCTGCGCTTCTTCCTCCAGGGGTCTTCTCCGTTTCTCCCGCGGGTCCAATCACAGATTCGTCGCTTTGACCTCTCTGTCCACCTGGCGCTTGAGAAATACCACCGCTGGCCTTCCTCGCAGTACCTTGCCGCGCATCCCGACCTGCTAGAGTTTGCGAGGTTCAAGCGGGAGCTTCCGCATAGTCGGGGAGGGGACGAGTTCACGCCCTCTGAGGGTCTACACCCCGCTGTTTACTATACGGCTATCGGTCGCTTCCTCGCTTGGTACTCTGTCCAGCCCATGTCCCGGACCTTGCCCTCTCCTCATAGCCTGGACGTTCACTGCTCGAGATCTCTCCGTGCCCCAGAAGCATCCTCTGGCGACCTTGTTCGTTGAGGCGCACGACTTCGTTCATAATGCTGGAACGATCCTCTACCGTCGTGTCAAGGCTCCTGCACAGGCTGCAGAGGGCGCGGCGATCCCACCATCCCCGGCTCATGTGCCCGATGACGCAGGACGCCCCCCGGCATCTGTGGTACACATCCGAGGTATGCGCGCTCTCGTCGACTCGTATCAGGAGCACTTCATTCCTCCCCCTCCGCAGCGAAATGTGACTCCTCTTGTAATGGGCGTCTTCCCTTGACATGTGCATGCCCGCGGTGCGCCGCCCGATCAGCAGCGTGATATCCTCTCCTTGCTCAGCCGCAGGACACACTCGCTCAAGTCGCAGGATAGGGTCTTGCAGTCTACCATCTTCGCTCATTTTCCTGAGCGAGACCTGAGCCACTCTCCGATGCGAGTCTCGAGCTACT